ATACACAAAGGAAATTTATCGGAATCCAAAAATGTTTTGGTATTTATTAGTGAAAATAGTGTAAACTATGCAGCTATTTCAATTGCATTATCTCTCAAGTGCAAAGTGTTTGTCGTAGCTGAAACTAATGAACAACTTGAAGTTATTAAAGCCAACTACCCAGAAGTGAGTAATAAAAGGTTTTTTTTTAGAATGAAATGTATTACTGGGTACTTAATATTAAGTTTATATTAAATTAAGGTGAGTCAGGTTTCAACTACAAAGTTTGATTCAAAATTCATTCACACGGTATCAAAGTTAACTCTAAATCAAGGAGTTGATTATGCTATTCTATCCAAATATTGTTCCAGTCGTCTGCCAGAACTGCTTGCCGATGAAGCGAAAATTATCATCACCGAAAATACAGATGTTTCAGTTTTATCAAGTAAATTTTAAAATATTTTTTTTAATTTTTAACACACACGCACTAGCTATGAATCACCGTTTTAAAAAGTAAAATATATAGCAAAATATAGTTAAAATAGGTTAATTAATAAAGTTAACAATTTCTTATAAAGCGCTACAAGTACTAGCTCCGTATTCTTTATTTATCTTTCTATATATTGATTAGTACTTATTAGAAAATGTTTAGTAATTTGTTTCAAAGTCGTTAAAATGTGAAAAAAACATTTAAAAAGTCACTTATAGACAGGTATGTAAATGTATGAACTACGTAATGTAAAATACTGGATGCTAAACAAATTAATAAACCTGGGCTTATTTATTTTTCTTGTAGAACCAATTTATCACGGAACAAATATTATAAGAACTTAATAATTATATTGATTTTAGATTCTCCAAGTGGATTTGGAGTTGTATCAGCCAAATTTGACGATATTCCTATTTTGAATAATTCGTGTGTTGACAGTATTTATTCATTCATTGAATCGAGAATAAAACTTGATGTCATAAAACCTCTGCCGTTCACTATATACCAATATTCTGATGTCGAGTCTGCTTTCAGGTAAATTATAATAATATTTCATGTATTTATTTTATATTAAATTACATTTTTCGTTCATGTAGATCATACGCAAATAATAAGACTGGAAACAAGATAATCGTTGAAGTGACCGGGGAGTCTCCGAGATTGAACTTTGCAGCATACCGACGGGTGTACTTTGATCCCAGCAAAAGTTACATACTTTCAGGTACATTTATTCTAAATGTTATTTGATTGTAAATTTAATCGTGATTGAGTTTAGGTGGTCTTGGTGGATTCGGAATGGAACTTACTGAATGGGCTGTCGAACGGGGGGCGAGAAATATTATTCTCTGCTCTCGGAGTGGAATTCAAACTGGATACCAGAAATATAGAGTGAATATTTGGAAAAACCAAAATATCAAAGTGGAAATCAGCACATTCGACCTGACTACATTGTCGGGAGCTAAGAATACTGTAGCATTAGCCCTCAGCTTAGGACCACTTGGTGGAATTTTCAACTTAGCCGGGGTACTTTTTTTATTGCATTTTAAGTTTACTTTCGATACGTCACTACAGTGTTTCGAACATTATTTATCAATTTAGGTTTTGAGAGACGGAATATTTGAAAACCAAACAGTTGCCAACTTCCAGACTGTGTACAACAGTAAAGTCTTAACTACTAAATATTTAGACGAAGCATCGGAAGGCGCTAGCAAAGATTTGGAATATTTCGTCACATTTTCGTCCATTTCGTGTGGCCGGGGCAACAGAGGGCAAACCAATTACGGTTATGCAAACTCTATCATGGAGAGGATTTCAGAGCAAAGACAAAAACGAGGTTTGCCGGCGGTAAGAATAAATCGTTTTTACTCCACGTTCCATTGTATCACATACATTGTTCACATCAGACATTGGTTTCCAATAGGTGTTGTAGAAACAATGGCTTTATAAATTTTTTTTTTATTTTACAGCAATCTATCCAATGGGGAGGCATCGGGGACGTCGGAATGGCTTATCTATTAACTCGTGGGAACGAAGAAAAAGAAATCAATGGAACTCTGGCCCAAAAAATATCGTCTTGTCTAGCGGCGTTGGATACATTATTAACACAAAGTTCAGCAGTCGTTGCTTCACATGTGATACCAACCAAAAGAAAACTGACAGAAAATTCGAAATCACAATCGCTCACAGAGATCGTTTCCGGAATTATGGGTAAAAAATTTTTGTACAAATTATTAAAAATTAATAGTATTTTAATATTTTATTGTCATGAATGTTCAAAAGTCATACATAATTTTTATGTCATAATTATTGTAGTTGTGTCTACGCTGTGTGGTTTTGTTTATTATGTTATTCATTACTTAAAAAACTATGGACGTTTTCGATTATATTTTATTTCATTTTTTCATTACAATAATAGTGCTCAAACCTTTTTTAAATTTGAAGAGTATAGTGTCTTGTTTTCTTAACGATTTTCGATAACTTTGACAAATATAAATCTTCTTGTTCCGTGAAGTACTTATGGTATATAATTTTTGTCTTATTTTTTTAATTCGACAAATACATATCTAAAATTAATTTTTATCACTCTTCAAATTGAATTTATTCATACTCCATTGTACTTTGTTAAAATTTTCGTGTATATATACAATTTCTATAAATTTGAACATTAGGGATTTGATTGTATTTCATAAAGTTTTATAGTTCCTATATAACTTAAAATCAAAAATTATGTTGAGACGAGTATTTAATAATATAATTATTATAATTAATTAAATTTGACACAGGTATAATGTTCTTTACATAATATTAAACTATTTTTAAAATGTTATTACTTATAAAATATTTTCTTTTATTATTCAGGGATTCAAGATCCTCTTTCAGTCAAGCCAGTATCTACCTTAGCTGATTTAGGAATGGATTCCTTGATGGGAGTTGACATCAAACAGACGATCGAACGTAACTTTGGCCTATCATTGAATAATTCTCAAATTCAACAGCTGAAGTTTAGTGAATTAGATAAATTGGGTGCCAAATGAAAATCTAAAATGAATTTATAAACAATATTGTTACATAATTATATGTTTTAACTAACTATTTCAATTTTGATGTAGTTACTGATTTTTTTAATCCGTACATGCAAAAAAAAAAAATAACAAAACCTAAATTAAATTGGAAATTCTTGATGTTTAATTAAAATTTTTATATTTATTTGTGAGTGAAAATAACAATACTTCTTTTTCTAAGAATTTTAATGTTAGAGAAAAATATTACGATACTGTTTTTTTTATACATAGGAATTATTTATAATATACAGTTTCGTACCCAGGAGGGTGCTAAGGGGCTTCAGTCGCTCTCATTGTCAGTGTCGAGGCATACATCCTTACATCTTGTGTAATAAAAAGCAAAATACAAACCATGATATTTGATTTTTCGGAAGAAACATTTTGTGTATTATCAAATATTTGTAGAGTTGATTTCGGTTGCGGAATATAGTAATAAGGACCTATTATAAGCCATAAGGTATCAAATTCTGATTTACTTTATTTAGCCGTCCCCCTAACTGAAAAACCCTGTGTTTGAAACTGGGTATACATATGTATGTGTATATTAATAATGCATTTATGTTTTATTTTTATTATTAGTAGGGGAAACCCGCGGCAACATTGGCTTTTGAGGGTGGGGTGGTACGGTGCGATATTTTTGGTCGGTTTTTAGTA